TTTTTTTGTGTGTGTGCGCGGCCAGCTCAGCCCACCAGGGGGCGGGGCTGGCTGGCATGTGGTGCTGGGGGATTGAACCGCGGTCCCTGGGCTTTAGCTAAGCTTGTTCTAAGTAGGTGCTTTAGACCACTGAGCCATCTCACCAGCCCAATTGGTTTCTTTTGGAAGTCCTTAGACTGGCCTTTTAGTCACTGTGTAGCCCAGCTGACCTCAAACTCGCTATGATCCTCCTGCCTCAGCCTCCCAAGTGCTGGGATGACAGGCATGCAGCATCACACCTGATGTCAGGGGCATTACTGTGCCCATTTGGCAGATCAGAAACAAGCTGGTATGGAGCGGTGGAGCCATGACCAGAGCCTAGCTGAGTCTTGCTCCTTCCGTCCCGCCTCCTTCTGCCGGGTGTGCTTATGAGAGCTTGTGTTCTGGGGAATGTGAGTCAGCTGCTCAGTTTTGGTGAATGAACACAATCTCAACTCTGATGAGGACATGGCAGTGCCAGCCTGGCATGGGGACACACTCAAGTCATGCTCCGTAGCTCTATGCAGTTTATAACAGTTTCTCATCCAAGCTGTGATTCCGTGGGACCTTTCACACAGGCCTGTCAAGGAAAGCAGGGTAATCTCCAGAGGAGGAAATCCAGGCTCAGAGGCCACGCGCCCAGGCCCAGCTCTTCCCATGCCCACGTATCCACGGCTCACAAGGGACACCTGCTCATAGCAGCTTCTCATCCAGATTTATTGGGAGGCAGCATGGTTGCAGGTGGCCAAGTCTGGGGAGGGCTGGAAAGGCACTGAGAGTGTTGTTCCTTTCCAGAAAATTCAGGGGCAACCCTGGAGGCTCCAGGACCCAGGGAGCTGGCAGGATGGGCAGACAGGCACTGGGAACCTTCAGAGCTCAGATGTCCAGGAGGGCTGGGGTTGGCCCTGCTTTCTCAGGCGTGGGGTCCCAGAACCCAGACCACTTGTCCGTAAAGGAGCTCCAGTAGTCCTTCAGGGAGTTCAAGCCGTCACTCATCCAGCCCCTGGCAGGGAGTCAGAGAGAGGCAGGCACAGAGGTGGGTGTGCAAGCTCATCCTAGTGCTCCAGCCACCCCAGTCTTAGCCAGCAATGCCCCTGAGGCCCCGGGCAGGAACCACAAGCAGCTGCCACCCCAAGAGGAAGATGTCCAGAGGTGGTGAAGAGAACCCTAGTCTCACCCCACGCTTCTCTAGATAGGGTCAGATCTTTGCCCTGGCCCCACTCCCACCGTCCCTGGGTCAAGGCACAAAATGATGGGTGGGAAATATGTAGGCCAGGGCTGCTGTGCCCTCCGGGCAATGCTGTCTCCTGGTGCTGTGCACCCTGGGGGGATCTGAGTGGGGGAACAGAGGGATAGAGACTGAGCTGTACAATCTGGCCAGGTCCCCTAACTTCTCTGAGCCTCAACTTCCTTTTTGGCAAAATGGGGAATATAATACGCATTCCACAGCCCATTGGAGGACTGGCAGTATTTGCAAAGGCCTCTGCCGCACCAAGGCTGCCAAAGCGAGCCAGGGAACAGGAAGAGCCGAGGACTCTCGGGTAGGACAGCCTGGGAAAACAGGACGGACTTCGGCTCTCCTAGCCTCAGAGTACAGAGTAAAACGCAGCCCTCCCTCCACTCCAGGCCAAAAGTGGCACCCCTCTGGCCCGACAAGGAGAAGCGGGAGGTGGCAGTGGGGGCTCAGGTGGGCCACCTCAGGGCTGTGCTGGGGTTTAGAAAGGAGGGCAGTGGGGAAGGGGATCCCACCCCTGTCATCTCTCCCCTGGCCCCTGGCCCTGTGAGGGAGCTCAGGGCGGCGCAGGCCTGGGCTGGGCTGAGAGAGTCACACTGTCATCACTAAAGCTTCTGCTAAGGAGGACAGACCAAGAGGGGACAGAGGGAGCTGCACGGTGGGCTTACCTGGCATTCTGGGCTACCTGAAGGTCCTGCACCTTGGTCAGCGCGTCCTTGGCGGTCTTCGAGGCATGCTGCACATAGCCCTGCATGTAGCTCAGGAGGGAAGCCTCCTCCTCGGCATCCTCAGCTCCTGCCAGGAGAACAGGGCTGAGCAGGGGGGGCCCTGCTCCCACCTGGCTACCACCCACAGGGCACAGGAGCCCCAAACCACTTCCCACATTGCCCTTAGCCTGGTCCCCAGAAAGTGCTTACGGGCAGAGGCCAGGAGCGCCAGGAGGGGCACAACGAGCAGCACCCGGAGCTGCATGGCACCTCTGTTCCTGCAGGGAAGAGTCCTGTGAAGGCTCCCCACACCGACACCCACCTCTGAGCCCTTGGGCTGGGTCAGCAGGGGCCGTGAGCAGGGCTGCGCAGAGAACGCCCCCGGCTGGGAATGCAGCCTCAGTGTCCTGTCTGCGCTAGAGCAGAAGGTCAAAGGCTTCCTCTCAGCAAGCAGAGAGAGGAGAGATGTGCAGCGTGGGGCCTGTTCCAGTCGCACATGGCCACCACCCTGTATATGGCTTTGGCTGGTTGACCTCCTCTTCCCGGCCCTCTATTTCCCCAGGGCAGTTGGCAATGGGGACACCCGTGCCACCCACAGCTTCCTGGGTTCCTGCGAGATGTCTTCCGGCTCTACTGGCTGGGCACGCACGGAGAGCCTTCCCCAGTTGCCCCAACCTCCACCCTGCTCCCTGCCCCAAGGGCATTACCTGGAGTAGCTGCTTCTAGGGATGAACTGAGTAGGCAGGTAAGAAGGTTCTGGCCTGTTTTATATTGTCCCCAGGGCAGACAGCGGGCACGGAGGGACCAGTAGGCAGGGCAAAGGTCACCTGCTGACAGTGGCGAGGAGGGCCTGAGGCAGTGAGACCAGCTGTGTCTGCTGCCTGGGCAGCGGGGATTCCTGCAGCTGTGCCACTGGTCACCTGCCCCCCACCCCAGCCCCTGGGGCAGGTATGGGAAGACCCCACTCCTTCCCACAGCCTGACTCCCCAGGGAGGCTGCTGAGAAGGGGGAGGTTTTGGCAATAAGGCAGAAGCCTCGGAGCCACACATGAGTTTTCGGGCATGTGCTACCTGCCAAGGTTCTAGTTAGAGTGATGGGCTTCCTCAGCCCTGAGAGCCACTCGGTGGGTGGGACAGGGGTACCTGGAGGGCAGCACTGAAGAGCAGGGGGCAGGGCATGTGGAAGGCAAGAGCCAGATCCACGCAACCCCCGAGCAGCTCCACCTCAAGGCTTCTATCACACTGTGTTCCGACAACTGAGCCAGAGCAGGGGCTGGCCAGGAGAAGGGCAAAGGCTGCTCTGAGCCCAGGGCCCCTGTCTACCCCTCCTCCTGTGCTCCTCACCTTGTCCTCTGGACCCACTGATAACACCCCCATGCAGGAGCCGGGTTCCTGGGGCCTCTCCAGCCAGGTGACTGGGAGTGTCCTGTCCCCTAGGCCTCAGATTCCTCTTGCAGGCCTGGCCATGTGGTACCTGGAAGGAGTGAGGGGTGGGGAGACGCGGGCAGGGGGCACAGAGGAGGACTGGGGGCAGGCACTGCCCTGCCTTCTCAGGGCTGTTTCCAGAGCTCAAACTGAGAGGGACAGCAAGGATGGCAGTGTCAGGGGACATTCTCTTCAGGCTGCTGGGAGTTTGGAGCCAGGAAATCCTAGCTTCCAATTGTGCTTTTGTCTCTCATTCATGTGACCCATGACCAGAGACCTCATCCCAGAGACTCATTCTTTCCTTTGTAAAATGGGAATCCAATACTTATTTTATAGAGTTGTGGAGATGAGTTAAAGAAATACCACGTGTACAAAGCAGCTGGTCAATAGGCGGCCTTGCCAGTCTCCTTCCAACACAGCATCCTCCCAGAGACAGTCTAGTTTAGGGCAGGAGGAGCTGTCCACATAGAAACAGGGCTTTTTGGCAGGCAGCCATCATCCCAGGAAGAGCAACTCAACCCCACAGTGAAGTCAGAGTCACGAGACAGTAGCCTGGCCCTGCCCTAAGTTTCTCTCTCTCTCTCTCTCTCTCTCTCTCTCTCTCTCTCTCTCTCTCTCTCTGTCTCTCGGCAGAACTTGGGATTGAACTCAGGCCTTTGCTCTTGCCAGGGAAGCGCTTATTCTACTGAGCCATCTCCCCAGCCCCTTAAGTTTCTCTACTGGGGGTTCATTCCTTTGCTGAAGACTTTGTTTTCTGTCAAAATGCAAGTAGTCAGAACCCTGAGGATTAAACATTAACTCCATTTTATAGGTAAGAAACCTGAGATTCAAATAGGAAGAGAGAGCACAGAACTGGAGATGAGAGGGAAGAAGTCGGGTCTTAAACATCTAGGCTTGGGGGCTGGCGAGATGGCTCAGTGGTTTAAGCACCTACTTAGAACAAGCTTAGCAAAGCACAGTGACCGCGGTTCAATCCCCAGCACCACATGCCAGCCAGCCCCGCCCCCTGGTGGGCTGAGCTGGCCACACACACACACACACACACACACACACACACACATAAATAAATAAAATTTAAAAAAAAATAAACATCTAGGCTAACAGGGTCGGCCTGATAGCTCATCAGACTAAAGTGCTTGCTTAGGCAGGTGCAGGGACCAGGGTTTGATCCCCAGCATGCTGTGCTGGGGTGCACCCATAATCCCAGCACTTGCAAGGCTGAAAACGGGAGGATCACTACAAGTCTGATCTGTGTAGTGAGACTCTGTAGACCTTGTACTAAATCCATGTTATAAACACCATTCATAAACACCCAGGCAGAATGGGGAGGTGAGAGAGATGATATACCCGGAGACTGGACAGCCTCTCACACTGCAGAGCAAATCTGGTTCAGCTCACATTTTTTTTTTAATTTATGAATTTGGCACAGGGTCTCACTACACAGCTCAGACTCATTGTGATCCTCCTGTTTTCAGCCCCCCCAGCTCAGGGATTACAGTTATGCACCACCATGCCTGGTCTTGGTGGCTGGCTCAGCGTGCCCCAGGGTGGAGGGTCTAGCATGGCATGTGGTGCTGGGCATCAAACCCTGGCCCCTGCACTTGCCTAAGCAGGCATTTAGTCCACTGAGCTATCTCGCTGGCTATCTCACCAGCTCACTTTCTGAGAATAGATGTGCTGGTGGGTGGAGAGGAAGATGGTTAAGAGTCCTGGGAGTTTTGGGCCCTGGGGTGTGTAAAGGAGTCACAGTGGCCTCTTGCCTCTTCTGTCCCAGTGTGTTTCTTACCCCAAAGGCAAGGGACACAGTGGGATCTTATCCAAGGCTAGGAAGTGGCGTAAAGTCCTCGGCCCTGCATGGACTGATCGGGTCCCTGTGTACCTGTCCTTCCTCCTGTACCTCATGAGGCCACTAAGGCCTGGTGGTCAGAAGACATGTGTGGAGAACCCCAGTGTGGTACTGGGCTGGAAGGACCCAGGTGTGTGCCCATGTAGCTGGTGTGCTGTGTGCAGTGACTTCTGGGCTCTGATGTCAGAGACTGAAGCCAGCAGGGGCTTTGGTGGAGCCCTCTCAGTGGGGCCTGTCACCCTCGTTTCTCCCCTGGAAAGATGGACTCCCTACATCTGGGGAGGAGCTGGTGGTGGGTAGGAAAGGAGGGGGCCTGACAGTCTGCAGCTGAGAACATCTGCGCCCTCTGCTTCTTCGTGTGTCCAGGGCAGCTTTAGCTATCGTGTTATGGTTTGTCTTTAGTTGTCCCCCCAAAGCCTCATGCAGTCATGGGTCAGCTTCTGGAGTTTGTGACTGATTCTCGATCCAATGCTGGGATTGCAGGTTCCCATTCATTGGGCCTGATCCCATCAGCCCTGCCCCAGAGGCTCTTAGCTCTGCCTTTCTATGCTCCAAGTTCTTCCTAGAGTCCCACCCAGATTCTTGCACATTTAGTTTTGTCCCAGAAGGAGGACTAGCCTGAAGCTGATTTGGAGACATGCAGGTATGTGGCACACCGGCCCCCATCCTATCCCTTGGGTCTATGCTGTCTGCTCCTCTAGACTGACCCCTGCTCCACTCCCTTGTATAGACAGGTGGGGCAGCTGCAGGTCACGTCCGACTAGTAGCCTCTTCACCTCACCATCTGTGAAGTCTATCTGAGGATAGACAAGGAAACTGAGGCTCAAAGAAGGGCGTGACCATCTAAGCTCACGTGGGCCCCTGGCCTGAATCCCAACTCACGCCCAGCAAGGAGGCAGAGTTTGCTTTTTCCTTGCACAGCGCAGGCACTGTGCTCTCGCCCCTCCCTGGCCAACACAAATCACTCATCGGTGGGATACACCCAAGTGCACAGGCCTGGGGGACAAAGGACGGCATCCCTGGCCTCATGCGCTCCCTGCACTGTGTGCAGCTGTGGCGATCCCTTAGCCCTGAGCCCCCACTTTGTGCTGTAGACAGTTTTGATGTTTGCATACTTCTGTGGATGCGCCTCATCCTGGCAGGTGCTCTTAGACACTCAAGTGATCCAAGCCCTCCCAGTGTGGGCACACCCGGTAAGCGGATGACGCAGAGGCACCTGCGGACCTGTCCCATGCTGACAGCACTGCAGGTCCAGCAGACTGCAGCTGAGATGTCCTTTGTGACTCACCCCCACCTCGCCCCTGGTGCTCTGAGCACTGTGACCTTTGCTCCCAGTCCAGGCCAGACTGTGCCTGATTTGGCAGCAGGATGGGGACCAATGTGTCAGTGTCACAGGAAGGTGAGCCCTTTAGGGAACAGCATGGTCAATACTTAGTAAGTGTCTGCTAAGGCACCAGGCACTGTGGTGGGCATTACGTGGATCACCTTGCTGGCTTGTGAGCGAGGGTGCAGGTGCTAGGGTTGCTTCCATGGAAGGAACTGGGGCTCAGAGAAGGTATAAGACCCACCCAGGGCCACAAGAGGAGCCCAGACACAAACCCAGGGATTCAGATACTAGTTTTTGAACTCAAGATATCCTTAGCTGGCATGGGCTGCACCTGGAAGGAATGAAGTCATGGACAGTAGAGGCGACCGCGGTGACGTGGGGAGCACCGTGGACTAGCGGGGACCTAGAATAAGGGAGGCAGGTGTTAGAGGCCTTTTCACTGTCTTGCACCTCGAAGTGTTTTTTTTTTTTTTTTTTTTT